AAACTGCATTGGCTTCAGATCTCTTTTCTAGTGGTATTCAAATAACCACTGCTCAAAACTGCACTTTCAACATTAGTTCATATAATTATTATTCTACCACAAATTGAAAATATTTAGGATGCAAGAGTGAAAATAACGTGCCTATAAGTTATACTGTGTACCTACTTATTTGTTACTGTCATCAATAAATTATTTGAAAATGACTTTTTAGTCAAGGAAGACGGAAAAATCATATCTATAACATGAAGGTTAAGTATATTCTATTCTTTATTTTCCTGCACATTTTACGCATCACCTATACAAAGTTTGATACAAAGTGTGATACTAGTCACTCCATAAATTATTTTCCGAGTTGGATTTCCGAAAATATATCTTGCACACATGACATGAGTACAGTAGTTCAGATACCCACATCAAGGTTTTCACCATTTCTCAATCATGAGGCTCAGCTCATTCAGCTCATAGGTAAACTATTGGTCAGCTTGAAATCAGAATTCATTCAGTCAATTCAGTCAACTCTGGTATACGGTCTCTTTTGGTGAAATATATTAAGCTTTCAGTACAATTTATATGTTCCCTCTACCTCGCAAAGATTATGTTGGAGTAGTAAACTCTGGAACTAGAGGATTGTTTATCTATATCTTGTTATAGTTGAATCAGCAATTCCATATGGAAAATATGTATGATACGCCAATGAACTCAATGTAACCTAAAAAACAACAAATGTCAAAAATCTAGTGTTTATCCTCAGAATTGAATAACGATTGAACTATAGAACTGTTCCACAAACACTTCAGAGTGAGAGGAGACGAGGATCTGTTCGTACCCTGTTGAAATGACTTGAACGTCAATTTCCATTAGGGGACCCTAGTGTTACGGTAACCTTTCTCTTCCGCACTCCTGTTGTATATTGGCGGATTGGTTTATGAATTTTTTTTATCTAATAATTGGAGTACTTGAGATCTTATTTTATCTAAACAGGCAAAAAAGTGAAAACAGAACTTCATTGTTGTTTGTTATGTGAAAAATCGCTAAATTTGGCGTGTTATGTTTCTTCAAAAGGAGTGAATTTGCTTGTGTGGATTGTTGCTGAAAAGGTTCGTGATTTCGAATTGATAACAATAGTTATTTATATTGGTGTTGCATTAGAATGCAAAACAAGCAAGTTGAAGAGAAATTGCCCTTCATGGGTAAGGTGCAAAGTGTCAGATTCTTAGAAAAAATATAGTAATTTATTTTCAGGATAATATGTCTGTGGATGTGTTGATGTGTGTGTGGATGTGTGTTTGTCTCGCATTAACTGTGGCAACCTGTGTGTGCATTAAACTCAATTGTGGCGTACGCTTTAGTTGTGGCAACTCACATTCGGATGCCACAGCAAAATATGTCACAACTTCGCTAAATGCGTGTTACATGTGTGCCTCTATAGATATGCGGCATCATTGACGACGGTACGTCAAATTCCACTGGAAATAAAGTCGCCACTGATTGGGACATAGCGGGAATTTCATCTGTGTATAGTATGCCATAAACGCATCCATAGTTTGTATACTATCTACCAAATTGTGACTACACTTGTACCCTGATATGGTGGCTCCCTCTGGTCACACACACTATTCATTATTCGACAGTTAGGCTGAATCAGTCCAAATCACAAATCAGTTGTGTCTCGACCGCCACAGTGTTAGGAGACGTTTTCACAGGGCGACTAACAATACATTCTGTAAGTATGCATCTTATAATGTTACTCAATATCATTCATTGCAAGGGTGAAATAAACGTTTTAGATCATGGAAACTAGGAGTCAAAGGATTCTAAACATGGCTGAAGCGAGAAACAGGGAACTGGACAATCGTTTATTGAATTTGCCAAGTTATGAAACGACAAAAGGTCTTCAACGACATTATAGAGAACTGGCAATTAAAAGTGAGTACCCAATAAATTACCTAGCTATCTCAACAATTGGACTGGACCAGCTTCTATGATATTTGATTTCTTGGATTTCTCTTAGTCCGGAATAGAATAAGTAATGAAAATTTTGAATTTCAAGATGGCGGATCCAGTATGACGGATTATGTTATTACGACCCCTTTGTCAAAATTATAGAATTCAAGATGGCCAATTCAATAAATTTTGATTATAAACCAAATCTATTCGAAATTTGTATCTGAGGTTTTTGGGGTCGAATATAATGATTCTTATGTCAAAATTAGTAGATTCCAGATAACGGATCCAATATGGCGGACGAATTCTTAAATTATGATCCGATTTCATTCAGAATTGGTATGAAATGTTTTTAGTGGTTGGAGTATAATGATTATTTCCTCAAAATTCGAAAATTCAAGATGAAGGATCCAATATATAGCGGACGAGTTTTGTAAATGAGATGCGATTCTATTGAAAATTGGTATCTGAGTGTTTTCGGGGTCGGAAATTATGATAATCTCTTTCGAATTTGAAAATTCAAGGTGACGGATCCAATATGGCGATATGATCCGATTCTATTCGAATTTGCTATCTGAGAGTTTTCGGTGTTGGGTTCGAGTTTTGTAATTATGATTCAATTCTATTCAAAGTTGGTAGATGGAGGTTTTCTAGTTCGGAAATGATAATCCCTCTATCGAAATTGGAAAATTCAAGATGGCGGATTTGAAATGGCGGACGAGTCTTATAATTATAATTCGAATCCTTCTGAAATTGATATCAGGGGAGGTCGAGGGGGAGGTTTTCGGGGTTAGAATTTATGATTCTGGCTTCAAAAATCAAAAATCCAAGATGACGGATCCAATATGGCGGAAGGATTCTGTAATTATGATCAGATTCTATTCAAAATTTATATCGAGGGTTTTCTAAGATAAAGTTCATGATTAATCCTGTAAAATGTAAGAAATTCATGATAGCGAATCCAATATGGCGGGCAAGTTTCGTAATTATGATCTGATTCTATTCATTGTTGGTATTTTGGGGTTTCGGAGTCGGCGATATTGATTCTTTTGTAAAAATTTCGAGGGTTTTTGTTGTTGGATCTTATGATTCTCTCTTCAAAATTCGAGAATTCAATATGGTGGCTCCAAGATGACAGACAAGTTCTGTGATTATGCTCCAATATGATTTGAAATTGATATGTGGATGTTTTGGGTGTCAGAGCATATAAATACTCTATCTAGGATATCAGACCACAAAATAAACTCGTGAATTTCAGAATTCTTCATTCAAAACTCACGTAAACGGAAAGAATAGTACTCGAAGAATTCAGCTTCTCAAAAATATACATGGTGTTATTAAAATATGTGGCCAAACTTCAAGAGTTGGCTTTGAGATTTATTCCAAGTCGAATAGTTGATATGAACATGGATCTTGCAATACACCATTTTCAGGATACAGGGTATCAAAGAATTAAAACAAATCGCATTTCCATAAGTAACGCAAAAATCGATATGATTCTGTTGAAATATTGAATAATTATCTGTAGTGAAAGGTACCAATTGAGTCATTACTTGATTCACGATCAACCTATCTTCTTTTAAAAAAGTTCGACTCTGTATCTTGAAAACGAAGCATTACTGCAGCTGCTCTGGTCATATGAACTTTTCATCTTGAAATTACTCAAGAACCACCTCTTAGAAGTTGGCCACTTACTAACATAACATCCTGTATATGGTGCCATCTCAGGAAAAATAATTCACTTTTGAGTTGCTCGCAACAAACAACCCAGACAGTACCAGATATTCCATGAATCTCCCTATCATATCCTTTTTTGAATATTGGAATATTCTAGAAATAATCTGGAATATTCTGGAATATCTGTGGAATATTCTCTAAATATGCGAATGGGAATCCCTCAGATATTCATAGAATATATCCAAAAGAATATTCCATGTTGAATATTCCTGGAATATTCCAATGAACATATCCTAAAATGAAAAAAGTGACCCTAGTAGGGATCGAACTCGTGACCTCAAGACTATCAGACCAACGCCTTGACCACTAGGCTAGTAATCGAATTGAATAATGATGTACATATCAATTTCTTGTGAGAGCGTTGTTCGAAATCGGATCATGAACACTTTTTGTTTCAAAATCGCCTTACATCTAATTTTGATGTTCGATACTCACAACTCTAAAATAATGATGGGTATTTATGTGTTGAGAAACATAGGAATATTCATGGAATATTTCATGAATATACACCACAGAATATTCAGTTGAGAATATTTCATGAATATACCCCACAGAACATTCAGTTGGGAATATTTCATGAATATACAAGAGAAAATATTCATTTGGGAATATTCCTGGAAAATTCATACCTGAATATTCCCTGAACATCACTTTGGAATATTCCTTCTAGATGTTCCAGAGGCATGTATATATTCTAGGAATAATCGATGAATATTCGGAATATACTCCTCCTTTTTAGCATCTTTAGAGAATATTCTAGGAATATCCAGTGCTGTCTGGGAAACGTTGAGGTCACATCTTGATGAAGTGTATAAAAAAAGTACCTATTGGTTTTAGAAACTCGACATTAAATCACGAAATCGATTTTTTCAATTTTAGATTTTCAAGATGCATCGATATCATCAACTACGGATGAATCACTGACAACAACCACTGTTAGTCCACAAATTCAAACCATACCAAGAATACGAATCAATTTAGAGCGGCTCGCGAATTCGGAAAATGCTAGAGCATTGCATTTTGAAGACGACGAACAATCATCATCAGAACCCGAACCTTTTGGTTCAGGCGGATCTGAATCTGAATACGTACCTAGTGATGAGTCCCGCAGTAGTTCGATTATACCGGAAACTCCTGAGAATGAGCTATCAACTGATTATGACAATGGTCACTTTTCACAAAGTCAACCTGTCCATAATAACGGAAACCTTTCTTCATTGGTAACTGACCAGGAAACCGATAACCTCCTCTCCGATGTAACTAGTTCTACTAATTGCAGAAAAAAAACAGAACAACATATTCAGATAATATGTGCAAAAAAAACATCTAGTGGAAAGAGAATACGGGATAAAGACCATAGTTGTTTTTTTTGTCACAAGTTGCTTCGTAATTTAGCCAGACATTTTGAAAGGGCTCATGATAAAGAAATGGAAGTTGCCAAAATTCTGAGTATGCCAAAATGTTCCAAAAGACGAAGAGATGCTTTCAATGCTCTGACGCGTAATGGTGACTTTTATCATAATTGTGACGTACTCTTATTGCAAAAGGGAGAACTCGTCTTATCACGTAGACCAACCGAACAAGAAAAAAAGTTTCTGAAATATTCTGATTATGGTCCTTGTCCCGAATGTCTAGGTTTCATGAAGAAACGGCATCTATGGCACCATCTTAAATATTCATGTGTCTGCATGAAGGACAAAAATATTTTGAAATCGCTGAAAACATCACGGCAACCAGCTGCTGAGAGTACTTCCCTACTGAATGGAATCTATGGGCAAAACCTAACACAAGATTTTCGTTCTAATATTTTGAACAAGCTGCGAAATGATGACATATCTGAAATATGTCGCAAAGATGATCTCATTCTACGATATGGAGCATTTCTCTATGAAAAATATGGTAGCACTCAGAGAGAACTAATAAGACAATCTATGCGGCAACTTGGGAGGTTAACAATAGAGCTCACTAAGGGAAATACGAATGTAAACAAGTTAATTGACGCTCTCACTCCTGAAATGTTTGATGCTGTTGTCTCAGCGACAAAGTCTCTCTGTTCAACATCTACCGAAGAAGCGAAAAGGACTGAATTTGGAATTCCATCTTTGGCGCTGAAAATTGGGTATTCTATCAGAAAATGCATTGGGATTGAAAGAGGTTTATGTTTGCGGAAGGGTGACCTGAAAAGAAATGATATACTGTTAGGTTTTTTGTCGATTTTGGATTTGGAGTGGAGCGTCAGAATCTCATCTAATGCATTAGCTACTCTGCAATCTAGAAAACTCAATTCCGTTGATTTACTTCCAATTACTGGTGATTTGATCAAATTGAGCAAGTTCTTAGAATTTATGATCGGAGAAACTAAGAATGACATGAAAAGAGAAAAGAGTTTTCAAAATTGGAGTAAACTAGCATCACTCACCTTGAGCCGTATCATTCTTTTCAATAAAAGAAGATCAGGAGAAGCTGCAAGAATGAGAGTTGAAAACTACACTAACAGACCGGCATGGCAAAGTCAAAGTGTAGCAGAAATGAGAGAATCTTTGACGGAATTTGAAAATCAGTTAGCTAGTGCCTTAACGGTTGTAGAAATAGTAGGAAAGCGAGGAAGAAAAGTACCAGTCTTGCTCACTAAAGAAATGAAAGAATCTATCGATTTTCTACTGGCAACTCGTATAGAAGTGGGAGTGCCCGAGGGAAATCCTTTCGTGTTTGCACGGTTAGGTGAATTACATTCCTATATGAGAGGCCACGATTGCATAAAAAAATGGTGTTCTGAAGCAAACTTAGAGTCGCCAGAAACGATAACAAGTACAAAGTTAAGAAAGTACGTAGCTACCGTTTGTCAAGTTTTCAATCTCAAAGAGAACGAGTGTGATTGGCTAGCGAGACATTTGGGTCACGATATTAGGGTCCATCGTGAATTCTACCGTCTCCATGAAAATACAGTTGAGCTAACCAAAGTCAGCAGGTTGCTTTTGGCAGTTGACCAAGGAAAAGCACATACATTTGCTGGAAAATCTCTAGAGGATATTCAAGTACAAGGTGAGGCAAATTTTGATTATTTTTACCTTCAATATTGAAAGGCAGCTGATTGAGAACGAGGTGTTAAAAAACAGTTTGTTGCGTAATTCTTCGATATCTCGTAAGCTACTACACACACAAAATTTCAAGAAGGAGGGTTCACAGTTTTTGATAAGGCATAATTAGAAGTTACTTTCAACTGTACAGGGTGTTCTACTGAAGCTGAGGCACTTGAACCCAACTCATTCTATAAGAAATAATCTACTTCCTCCAATTCATGATGCATCCTTCTTCTTGATGTTTTTTCAACCCCATATGAAGAGCTCGAATTGTTTGCAGTTTGTCAAGTTTGTCAACTGATGCTCTGATCTTTTCACTATTGCAAAGTTATGATAAGAAACTGACAATTGAAGCATTCATCATCGTTGAGAATAAATGATTCACGTGCAGTAGTATCAAGGTAATGCAGACACTATCTTTCAATTTTTATGATCTGTTAATTCAGGAAGCAATTCATTCAAGAATCTAATTCTTCACAAAGACTCTTCACAATCATGTTATATTTCTTTGATAACTCAATCGTCGCCAAATGAAGAAGTTTTTTGAAGTCTCCTTTTTCTCCAAGATGACTGATTTTCTCCCAAATATCAAATTGTCCGATATAATCGAGAATATAATATTGAATCACAAGTTCCTTTATCGATTATTGATAATGATTGATTCTTTATCTAAAATGCATGAAAGCAATTTGACAACGTCGCAATCGATGAAAAATATATTTCATGATTGTGAAGGATTTAAGTGATGCTATCAATTTGGAAAAAAAAACTGGGTGTTCTATTTGGAAAAAGCTAGCAAATTCCGTCTGACATTGCGAGACAAATTCGAGCACCTTCCAAATGAACAGATTTTGAAAATTTACGGATAGTATCTATGGAAACTTGATACTACGCGAAACTTATTCTCATTAACAATGATGAATGGTTGAACGGTTACTATTTTATTAAGACTTTGCAATATTGGAGAAATGAGAAAATGTATTATAACATGACAAGTTTTCACGGTTTCACTTTGATATGTATAAGCAGGTATATGAGAGCCAAGACAATAAGCAGAGTTATCTAAAACATTTATTCGATCGTTATACTGATTGTTTATTGATCATGCTTGAACTGTCATCTTCCTTTCGAGTGCTTCAAGGATGCTGCATACCTGAAAAATAATGAGGAAATATTAATAGAAAAATCATTTCTCAATAGTTACTTACTCATGATGCCACTCCAATCTCCTCTCGTCGGTTCGATCTATATTGGAAGCTTATTCTGGTTCAAATCTGTTGAATACATGGTGAAAATATCCAAAACATTCGCAATATAATGATAGTACCTAGTAGTGAAATTATTTAGTGGATGAACAATAACATTGAACACCCATTAACCTCACAACTAGTAGAAGGGTTTCGCTAGCGGCTGGAGTTTGTCATCTCCTTCTTCTGCTGAATCTGGAACATCCAGTTGATCTTCAACAGAAAATAAGATAACCTCACAAGTGCGTCATTTTGGCGGGATTTTGGAGATAAACTACCAAAATAGTGAGATCTGACAGGCGTTCTTTTTGAGAACATATGAGGGTATTGTGAAGTGCCATCGCAATTTTTGTGTGTGTATTGGATTAGGATAAATACTAAAAATGGTGCACGAAACTGAGTCAACATCAATGAATATTCTTCTAGATTTGCCACCTATAGAAGAAGATCCGCCTGATTTAGATGGAAATGATGAAGCAGATGATGAAAGCAATGAAGGAATTCTAAGGGTCAGTGCTGGGGATTCAGCAAACAAAATGGAAATAGAATTACCATCAGAACCATCACTTGAAAAAGCGAAACAAAAACCTAGTAGGTGTATATATTAGTCGAATTCGGGTAATGAGGGCAATGTGTGGAAACATCACTTAATTTCACTTTTGGGTAGATTCGAAAATTATCTTCACGAAGTAGTTCACTGAATAACCTATAAAAATTACAGTAACTTGCAAAGCAATATTTTGTCTACGACTTCATAATATCTATACAAATTGTTATACAGGGTGTTCCTAAATGTCATGTACATATTGAGAAATGCGATTCCATGTTTTTTTTTTTCATGAAGCTCACATAAACATGTCCTAACTTGATTGTCTTCTAGATACAAGGTGTTGAAAATGGAGATGATATTTCTTTCCTGAATAACTAAAGAACCACTTCATAAAAATCAAATATATTCTATCGGATCACAAAGTACCTAGAGATCAATAAATTCGAAGTGTGACAGCTGATGGAAATTTCAATAGGGCAGTGAGAAGACATTTTTATATTTTTATTTTTATTCCCAGAAAAAGCCAAGAAGTTACCTCCTCCAATATGTACATAACATTCAGGAACACTCTGTACAACAGTAAGTTTATAACATAAGGAATTTCAGCTAATTTTTTTTTACTTAGAAACCACCAAACCAAAAAGGACGAAGAGGGAGGCAGCTCTAGGAAGAGTTCCGTGGAATCATTCTGAGAAGGAAGTTTTGTTGAACGAATTCAAAATTGAAATAAAAAGAGGAATCGTACCAGGAAAGGCTAAGTGTACGATGATAAAACATGATCATGACAATATACTCAGCAGTAGATCATGGACTGATATTAAATTTTTCGTTAAGAATGTAATAACAAGAAATAAGAAAAATCGAAACTGAAATTTTATAGTATATTGTGTCACAAGGGCAGAAAATGAGCTTCAGTAGCCTGTGGCTATTAGCTGAACAAAAATCCTTGATTTCATGAAATTTTTCATTTTCTTGCTTCCAAACTATGATGCACACTGACAATCAACAAAAATTTATGTGAAATGCGAAAATTCGCATCACGCAAGTTAAATACAGGTGTATAGATAGTGGAAAACTACAAAATCGTTTTGTAATGAGTTTAGCAGCCCAAAGAACGATTTTCAAGTTTTTCACTATCTGGGCACCTTTGACTGTCATTTGCGTGGCGCGTTTCCTGCTGTTCCACATAAATTCTCCATAAGAGGTCAGTGTGAATCTAAGTTTGGAATCTAGAGAACCAAACAAATCTCATGAAATCAAAGATTTATGTATAATCTCTTTTTCTGTGTATTCTTGATAGGCAAGAAACAATTAGGTCACCAAAACGTTTTAGCAGCCCTCATCTTCCAGCTAATCGAGCTCATTTTCTGCCTTTGTATCACAATACATCATTTCAGTACATGGTATAATAACTGTAACAGTTGTTCTGAGTATTTGCCTACGTTTTCTCAACATTCGAGAGTATGAATATTATGTTACTGAAAAGAGTTGAGTTTTCGAATTTTTTTTGTGAAAATTGTGAGAATTTTTGATTTTTTTGTTCAGAACAAAAGCGAGAATTGCAGGTGATATGCGTATGTCTTCTCAACCATACCCTTGTCATTTGTATTTCATGTTTGTGCGACATTTTTTTTTCGCATCTGTAATACTAAGCAAGATTGTATGAATAAATCATCATGAGATAAGTAAAGTAGCAATGACTCACCTTGCACTCTCCAAGATACACCCATTCAATAACTTTATTTCATATAAATGGTACGAATGGAAGCAGAAACTACTTTACCACTTTAACCAGCATTTAAACTACTCATCTCACGAACAGTACCCATAAATTATTGAGTAATTGAACTAGTTCATTAGATAGTTCAAGAAATTTAAAAATCATCTCTTTCCAAACCAAAATATCTACTAGTTAATTGAGAAATATATATTTCATGACATCTGGCTCCAAAATATAGTGAATTTTCAAGATCTCATAATGTCTCTTTTCAATTGAACAAACTTTCGAATGCATCAATAATTTCCAAAATCACGATTCATGACTGATCTGTATTTGAGCCCAATGGAATTTTCGACACACACCTTGATCATGTTGCATCCTTCACACACTACAAAGCAAATATATTTCATGTGGAATCCGTAACACATTCTGGGATGAATGCATTAAATGTGGCAACGGATGCCACATGCTCGCCTATTGAATGTATATCCATCTCGGAAACTACGGAGGGTAAATGTGCGCCACCTAGCGCATTCAATTCGTAATTTTAATTACCATGCGTACTCTAGCAGGCATCAAAAGCGCCACAATTGGGTGTAAAGGTCGGGGTGCCACAAAGCTACACAGACAAGTATGTGTGTGTGTGGATGTGTGTGTGGTGTGTGTGTGGATGTATGTGTGGATGTGTGTGTGGATGTTCATAACTTGGGTTCTTATTAGGATGATATGTTTCTCATATGATACTGAAACAAAAAGTAAAAAGGAGAATGACAATCTTGATGAGGTACCAAAAATCATTTTGAAGGTCAAAACTACAAGTTCAAATTTTCAAACTCAAGAGCTACATCATATTCTCTTTTCAGGTTTGCCTTTGGAGATTTTCCTTCTCCAGAAAGGATAAAATGAATGTGTACATTCTGGGCGACACAGATATTCATCTGTAATGAAACAATTCGTCCAAACATCATATTTTTATTCTCTTTTCAATCACATCTCATACATCTTCTAACAGTGAAATATTAATGGAGAAATAGGTAAACTCTTGAAAATTAGGCTCAAAATAGACTCAATACCATTCAAGAACCTCTTTTCAATTGTTTATCGTTTTTCTTTTTCATCTTGATAGTGCTGAGACCTCGCCTGAGACATTGAGATTCGCTCACCCTGTAAAATATATTGTGACATTTGAATGGGAATATATGATTTCAATTTTGTACTCATTTACTTCCCAATGAGAATTGAAATCCACTTTTGAATCAGTTCTTGAATGATAATTGATTGCAACATTATCTTTTTTCCTAAATGAATATTTATATTTGATCACGTTTACTCTTGAATAAAAGCAAAAAACGATCAGATATTTCAAATAATGCGAGTGCTTCTCATTAGCCAAGATAAGATAGAAAGAGATAGGTATCCGTAACCACTGCAGGTTGCCCGAACAATATTTTTGTCTCACTCGTCGTTCACAGAGGATGCCTTCCAGTTGTTCATATTGAGTTCAATGCCTGCAGCATGAAGCAGATTCGCATACATCATCCCATTTCAGAATTTTCAGATCTGGAAGAGGTTCTGTGGCACATACTACAAAATAGTTGTATGCATGGTGTTCTATGTGATGAAATTGATTGTAAATGTCACGTCAAACAAATGTTGTTTTGTTTGGTTTTTGTTTTTATGGCTTATATCACAGAATACCAATTATTTGGTATTCTGTGTTCTGTGCGTCTATTATCCTATAACTATACCTTGAAAAGTATGACTGTGACATTATTTGTTTGAGTGAACACTGGTGCAGTGAAAACTGTCTTATAATAGTCAACCTACACCAGTTTAAACTTGCCAGTTATTTCTGCAGAGCTGACAGTGTGCATGGAGGAGTCTGCATTTTTCTAAAATCTGAAATTAGCTACAAAACTCTTGATCTCACACAATACTGCAAAGAATTTCATTCGGAAATATGTGGTATTGTACTTTCAAACTCAAATACTTGTATTATCACCATGTATAGATCATGACGTTTACATGGTAATATACAGATATTTTTTGGACAATTTAGTAATCTCATGGACAAGCTCATTGCGAAATACAATAAAATCATTATTTTGGGTGATTTCAACATAGACATTAAAAAAAGTGACAAATCGTCAATGGAATGGTCAGAAATTATACAGTCCTATGGTCTGAGATTCACAATCGATGAATACACTAGAGTGACCTCTAATTCTTCCAGTTGCATTGACAACATTTTAACAAACTTGAAAAAAATCTAGCTACTCAGTTGATATAGTCGATCCTGGACTATCAGACCACCGGGCTCAACAAATTTTAGTGAATATCTCACACAAAGCTCCCACAGAAAAACCACTAACAAGAAAAATTACTGAAGTTGACATTGGAAAAATGAACCAGTCACTCATGGACCTGGACTGGTCCATGTTCAACTCAAACCAATTCAACCAGGAATCTTGTAATATTTTGTCCAATTACCTGGTGGACAAGCTGAAATCCATGGTGGATAAACTTCCCCCCCCCCAAAAAACAGCTAACAAATACAAACCTCCTGTAAACTTTTTTAATGACAACTTAAGGTCCATGAGAGACACTCTACTCTCCATAAAAATAATTTGTGATGTAACAAAAAAACCAGAAGATAGAGCTGCATACAATCTCTACAAATCCCAGTACAATAAGGCATTGAACTTATAAAAAAAATGCCTACAATTCATTTATACTGAACTCCACAAACCAAGCTAAGGATTCATGGAAGTGAGTAAACCATGAAAGGAACAAGGAAGGGAAGAAATCTGAAATATCTAAGATTAGTCCTGATGATTTTAACGAGTATTTCACTCATGTTGCCGAAGAAATAATATTAACATTACCGGACATGAACCAATCTTCGAACGATTTTTTAAAGGACCTTCCCAGAACTAAAGACTCACTTTTCTTGGGTCCAGTAAACCACAAGGAGGTGAAGGCCGCAATAAATACATTGAAAAATTCCAACTGCGTCGACATACACTATTTGAACAGTAAAATCATAAAGGGGACAGCGACCCTGCTGATTGAACCCCTAGTCATCTTATTTAATCTATGTTTCCTCCATGGAATCTTCCCTGACAATCTAAAAATTACAAAGGTACTCCCAATATATAAAAAAGGAGACCCTGACAGGCCACAAATTTCAGACCCATCTCCATAATTCCGATTATCGGAAAGATTTTCGAAATAATCCTGAAGGAACGATTGCTGCTCTTTTTTAATAAAAATAACACTCTTGATGAGGGACAGTTTGGTTTCCGGCCAAAATGCTCCACCATTCAGGCTGTAAGCTCTATTGTGGCGAACATAGTCGAGGGCCTTGAGAATGGTGAACACACTGAAATCACCTTGTGTGACCTATCCAAGGCCTTCGACTGTGTATCGCATCTAAAATTACTGGATAAATTAAACTTCTATGGTGTGCGGGGAGTACCTCTGAAACTGCTGAAATCCTATCTCGATAACAGAATTCAGTGTGTTGCCATCGAATACAATTTCTCTAAATTCCAGTACATTAACCACGAAGTCCCGCAGGCAAGTGTGCTGAGACCACTATTATTTATTATTTATCTCAACGACATTTTTCACTACTTGTCTCCTTCTGGGTGTATTTGCTTCGCTGATGACACGACATTAATTGAAACTCATTCTAACCGTATCACACTAAACAATCTTACCGAGCAAGCAAAAAACAAAGCTTATACCTGGTTCAGTACTGATAATCTCAAACTAAATCAAGAAAAAACCCAAAATAATGTTTTTGTCCACAGTAACAGTCACTAAGTTGTCTTTTTTTCATTTATCATGTATTTGTCAATATGTTCCTCTACTTCACTTCTAGTTCTAGTAGTTCACAATTTACACAAAAGTATAGAACAGGATGGGAAGAAATTCCAAAATTTCAAGGATGGTTGCAACCTTTCAGATCTGATTCAATGAAAGTCTTCTGTAAATATTGTAAAACAATTTTGGCAGCTGGTACTAGTCAACAAAAAATAAATTACAAACATATTGGAAAAATTACTATAACCAGAAGAAGATCAGTTGTGTTTATACTCAGCTGTTCATACATCTATGGGAACTATCGATCATTAGAGTGATCTCCATGAAGATTTCAAATGTGATCTAGGAGAGACTGTGTCAATTCATCGAACAAAGTGTACAGGTTTGATTGGGAATGTTATTGGACCATATTTTTCATACTCTTTGAAGGATGATATTGGTAGCAGTCATAACAGCTTGTTGATTGATGAATCTACTGACATTTCAGTTCACAACATGTTAGGCATTGCCATTAGATATAGAAGTCTAAGGCATTCAAAAATAATATCTACATTTCTTGGCTTGGTACAAATAAATGATAGTACAGCTGATTCTATAACAGTGGCAATACAAAATGCTATGTCTAAGTTTGATCGTGATGTAGAAAACCTCTGTGTTATTTGAACAGATAATGCCTGCATAATGACTGGGACGAATAATGGTGTTTATGCACTATTGTGATACAAACAACCCGAATTAATACTCAATATGTGTATTCATTACAGCTTG